GTCTATGCAAACTGTTGCATTTCGATTAGATTAACCATAGATGATTGGAATGAAATTTGTTGTAAGTTCAACGGATTCATCTTGGCCATCTTCAACATTTGCAGTCGTATCACCGGGTTTTTGGAATTACCCGGATCACGCCGTGTCATTAACGTATCAAGAGACCAGACAGCTTCAATTATAGAATCGGAAACGAGAGAAGTTTTGAAAGTGAGCATAAATGATTTTTTATTGGCCTTTCAGTGAATAAATGTGATTAAATGTGATAATTGCACGTGATTGTACGCCGTCATTATTGTCGTTTCAGGTTTTTCCTTTATTTGAAGCTATTGAGTCTGCCGTCCTAGTACACAATGGTAATATGGTTACCGTTGGTGAAGAGGGAACATTGAAAGAATGGTCAATCAAGTCTGCTCGACTTCTTCGATCGAAGAAAATATCAGGGCTAGTTTTAGTCTTGGATACTCTCCTCGTCTCTATAAAGCAACAGCAAACATTTCATGCTCTGACTAAAAGCCTTTCAAATATATAACAATTCTTATTCGATTATATGGTTTATTCTTTATTCTTGATAATTTCAATGTGATTCGCTTACAGGGCCCGACTGGATTCTATGATGTATAACCCTATTCGTAATCAGCTACTAATAACATCTGCTGAGGAAAATATTTTTCTCGTTGCTTTTGATGAGCTATCACTTAAACGGCAAATTGTTGGATTCCACGATGAAGTGAGCTACTGACTGTGTTCATTTTATTGTTGCCCAGCCCTAATGTTTTTTACGATCTCTTCAGGTTTATTCTTGTTGCTTTGTTGGAAAAGATGAGTCGCATTTGGCGGTCGCTTCCAATACCAAAGAAATACGGTTATACGATACTGCTACGTGGGACTGCCAGTTAGTTGAAGGTAGGCAAGATCTTTCGATCTTATCAAGCTTTCGTTCTAAAAGGCTTCATTTTCTGAATTCAAAAAGAAGACTAGCCCTCGGAACTTCCTCAGATTTCTAGAGGTCGCGCCAGGCACTTAATTCGTTTGGTTTATTGCTAAATACGAAAAGTTGTCGTTGACAAGTATCTACTATTTCAAAGGATTTTAACATCATACAGTGCATTTATTTTTGCTATTTCAGGTCACAGTGAAAGTGTACTACATGTTACGGCCGCTCCTTTCAATCGTAATCTGTTAGCATCTTGCAGTAAGGATAACTCGATCATCGTATGGAAATTCGTCTGTGAGTTCAAACTCAACTTATGCAACTCTTGGTTTCTTACCTCTTTGAAATCAGGTTTTCACTTCCACATCAAGTGCTTATTCTATTGTTCATTTTGAAACAACCAAGTAACAGGCGCATTTGATAATCCCCTTGACGCAATTAATGAACTACTGATCTTTCATGTGGAATCATTTTCCCATGTGGGATTGGTGTTTCCCGGTGCAAACATTTATTTATTTATTTATAACGTTGTGCATAAGGCAAACGCAAGAGAACGAGGTTGAAAAATCAAACTAAAGTCACAAACACATCCTATTAGACTAGGGCTCACTAAAACACAACAATTCCAACTTACTTAGGCGCTTGAAAAGTCGGAAGGCAGAAAACATTATCGCTACTGTAGTTTTAAGAGACGTGAATTCAGACCCTGCACGACAAGTGAAGCTATGCCGCTTTATATTCGTTTTAGGCGTGGCATAGGATATCTTTATTGACCACCCTCTAGTTCTGGAGTTGATCATACCATAGAATTTAGACGCATCAATCCTAGCAATACCAGTTAGCAGCTTAAAGACCATACACACATCAAAATATTTTCTCCGAGAACAAAGCGTGTGCAATTTGTACCCTTTATTCCTCTCAGACACACGAGGTGGCCTTGAATACTTGTGCCCTCCAGATCTAATGAATATTTTACGGGTGAAATTATTTTGAATTTTTTCAATTAACCGAATTTCCTTCTGCTTATAAGGGCAAAATACTGTTGATCCACACTCTGCAATCGGCCTAATGTACGTTTTATAAGCCATCACAAGAAGATCTTCATCACTCACTGTAAGACCTTTGAAAATTTGGTATGTCCGATACGTAGCTTTCTTGTATATCATTTCCAAATGTTGGGAGAAACAGAGTTTATTATCATAATGAAAACCAAGATCTTTAACGGAAGAGACACTCTTAAGAAGATGATCGTCAAGTCGATAGGTTTTAGCAGACTAGAAGAACCCATTCTCATATACGCAGTCTTTTCAGGAGCTAGTGACAAGCTCCATTGTTTAGACCATTCAGAAATAGCGTGTAAAGCATTTTGAATCATTCCTATATCGTCTTCACTTTCAATCATCCTATAGATTTTGATGTCGTCAGCAAATGATGACACTCATCACTCACTGTAAGACCCTTGAAAATTTTTTGTTTACATCTTGCCGCTTTTAGGGATAAGTTGAGTTGGTAAACATTGGGCTTACTTTTGACACTTGTCGATGTTCTATGAAAGTTAAGACTTTCATAATCTACCATTCACGTGATCCAAGATTTTCCAGAAGGCCATTATTACCAGGGTGCTACAGTACCATGTGTTGACATTGCACTCGTTCAGCTGCCTCAGATGACAAAGCTTGTCGATTGGAAGCGATTGCACGAGCGACTGGGCATACCAATTCTGTCAATGCTTTGTGCTTTTCCCACTCTGGTAAACGGCCTTTTTTAATATCGGTATCGACGGATACGACGATCAAGTTATGGTCTCTGATTGACCTCGATCAGGACGCCAAAGGGGACTCGAATTTGGACAATGTGTGAGAAGGATATTGTTATTGCGAAAAGGTACATATGTCTTTTACATCTTGCCGCTTTTAGGGATAAGTTGAGCTGTTCCTCTACTCTGGTTGCCCATGGAAAAGATGTGAACTGTGTTGATATCTCACTCACAGACTCTGTCTGCATAAGCGGAGGGTAAGCTTGTCCAAGCATACTTTCTCTTTTTTTTTTCGTTGCACGTAATTTTCAGAATGGATAAATTGGTGAAGTTGTGGCACGTTGACTCTGCTAAAATGAGGCTTGGCATTGCGGGTACATTATCGGGTCATCGAAGAGGTGTTGGAGATGCGAGATTTTCACCTAGTTCACTGGTAATTTTCCTCTTCCTAAGTCGTAAAATGCTTTATTTTCATTGATTTCCGTTGGTCTAGATTCATATTGTTGTAACTGCAGAAGGCTGCTTCATCCAGCGGCGACATGACTATCAAAATTTGGTCTCTTGAGGACAAAACTTGCTTGCAAACCTTGAATGGACACAACTCAGCTGTTTTTAGAGTTTGTTCTTCACTAAATTCGATATGAAAGCGAAGGTAAACGAAGGGTATTGCTGTCTTTCACAGGTTCTCTTTGTTAACCATGGAACACAACTAGTATCTGCGGATAGCGCTGGAATCGTCAAAATCTGGACACTGGCTACTTCTGAAGCGGAAACTTCTATTGAAGCACACAGTGATAAGGTACTCTCAGGTCGTATTTCTATTATAAAACGGAAAAACTTCCACAGGAACACGACAAGTAAACGATCGATACTTTATATAAGTCTTTGAAAACCGTTTCATTGCATAAACTATGATGGAAGTGGACAGCCTATAGGAGGACCAGATTAATAAGTAATGTTTTTTCATGTGCGACATTAATGGCGTGGTTTAACTCTCTAGCTAAGTGGTTCGACAGGTAGATAGGTCACGTCGCCGGTACTTGTCCAAATGTTTTCGTTTTAAATCTTTATTTGCGTCAGACTGCTGGATACTAATTTCCATTTGGTTCTTTCTCGGAGGTCAGTGAAGGGGTCTTCCTTTCATAAAACGAATGAGCACCCAAATCAGATCACATTTCTCCACGTTGTGGTCAAGTATTGCCATTCAGGGGGAACACAACGAGCGATTGTTATATCAGATAGGTTGGGAGTTCACAAGACTAGTCCTCTCAGATTGAGAAGATTATGGTAAAATTAAGGTTAAGTGCGAAAGTAAACGTAGCGTAAGGTGAATGCGGTCATAAAACGTAAGCGAGACCAACCGAAATTCGAAAAAGGCAGCAAAGGCGTGTAACATTCGGGGTAAGACCAGTACTATTTGTAGCTTCTTCAACCAGGCTACTCTTTGAAATCGTTGAAATGAAATTGTTTGGAAACATTGCTTTTCACTCCTTGCTTTTTGTAGAATAAAAACTTCTTAATTAGTACTGATTTTCCTTTACTCAGGCCGTTGTCCGTAAAGTTCACAAACTTTACGAACAACGACCGTTTGCGAGTTCATAGCATCACTTCCGCTTGCTTTTTCCGTTAGCATAATATTGTCTAGCTCTGCAACAGTCTATGTTTTTCTGGCCATCGACATCGAGTTTATTCCCTTAGATCATTCCTGCTATAGTGAGTTTATCTCCAGATTTGGACGCTGTTGGTGAACAGTGATGAAAGCGAATATGTAACTGCTGGTACGGATGGACGAATTGTTATGTGGAAAGACGTCTCCGATGAGCGACGATTGGAACAGGAAGCTAAAGTCAGGAAGCAGCTTGAGGAAGAACAGGTGCAATAAGCAACACCTTTCCATTTGTGTACACCATTGGAATCTTTTGAATTGCATTTTAGAACCTACCTCACTTTTTTATAATTGTTCAGCTGATTGAAAATGTAAAGCTCATCTCAGCACATCGATCATGAGTGATATTTTGCAGACCCTGAGTAATCTGCTGGATCAGAATCGTCTTCAAGAAGCCTTGGAATTTGCTCTTGGTTTGGCTCGACCTTTCTGCGCATTAAAGGTTGGTCGTGAATCGGAGCATCCGTTTGTCTCCTAGCTGTTGGTTTGTTATGCTCTTCTATTTTATGATTTTTCAGGTTATCGACCAACTAATTGATCGTGATGAGTTGATGCCCGCTTTAACGAGATTGGATAAGCAGAAAATTCAGACCTTGTTAGACTTTGTAACACAATGGAACACCAACAGTCGAACATCCCTGGTAGGCGGTGATCAGTTTGGACATTACTTGCAGATTTTTTCAGCATTTCAAAGTCAAACTCGTTGAAATGCGCTTGAATCTTTGAAGTGTATGGAGTGGCCTAGAGGAGGTAATCCTGAAATTCTTCCATTTGCTTCGAAGTTTTAGGTTGGCAATGAGGTAATTACGAAGGTCTATGAGGAATCTTACACCACTCAAGTGTTTTGCGGCAATAAATTTTTCAAAAATTAGAGGGTAACGACTTCTAAGGCTTTCATCGAGGGGAGACAGGTTGGTGTAGGATCATTGCAACTTAGCTGAGAGGGAGTGAGAGGAAGTAAAGTTGGCAAAGCCTACAACATCCTACTTACTATAAAGCGCTTAGTCTGTCTGTCTGTCCGTCTGTCTGTCTGTATGTCTGTCACGAAATTCCTTAGCTCCTTTAGATCTGCCTGGAGAGACCGGGTCAAGTGTGGGATGGGTGGGCCAGGTCTCGAGAAGTATAAAACACACATCAGCTTGGCGGAGCCCCGCCCACAGTGGGCGTGGCGTGCCTCGAAATGAGCCCTACTGAGGACCATGATTTCAAATTCAGTAACAAGACGGCTTCAAAACTGGAGTTTAAAGGTGGCTAGAGGTGTGCATTGTTAAGTTAGATCGAAGTGGGGAGACCCACCCCCATGGGCGGGGCGTTCTCCAGAAATGCAATGCTTTATGAAAACATTTATAACTCGGTTCGGAGAAAGCCAACAGAGCAGGACAAAGTTGATATAGGAGAGGTATTGTCGAAGGTATCTCCACCATAAATGACGTCAGCGGTGGCCCGCCCACAATGAGCGGAGCGTGCCTCGAAGCTCACATCCCTTCTTACATTTATTACGAAAATCCATAATTCCAATTCCCATAGACCTATAGAGTTCAAATTTGGTAGGAGTACAGGCGTCATGGAGGCAAAACTTATGGTGGGCGGCAGAACCAGACTCCGCCCACAAGGGGCGGGGTTTGGGCGAAAGTTCATAACTCATGTCCCCATGGACCTAGAAAGTTCAAACTTGGTAGGTGTACAGACACCGTGATGGGGAAGCTTATGGTGGGTGGCAAAACCGAACTCCGCCCACAAGGGGCGGGTCTGGGTGAAAATTTATAATTCTGTCTCAGTGGACCTAGAAAGTACAAACTTGGTAGAAGTACAGACACCGCGACGGGGAAACTTATGGTGGGTGGCAGAACCACACTCCGCCCACAAGGGGCGGGGTTTGTGCGAAAATTCGTAACTCCTGTCCCCATGGACCTAAAAAGTTCAAACTTGGTAGGAGTACAGGCGACAGGATGGGAATACTTATGGTGGGTGGCAGGACCAGATTCCTCCCGCAGGAGGCGAGGTTTGAGCGGAAACTCATAGATCCGATAAAGGTCTATAATGAAAATCAGCTCATGCGGCTCCGTCTCTCATGGCTAGAGCCCCTAGCGCGCGCGAGAGCGTGCGTAGCCGCCTGGTTTGAAATAATTATGTCACTTGCCCTTGATACCACAAGCGTGTCCATCCAGCGGCAATCTTTCGAAAATTTGTCATCTGTCACCTTTTTTTCTGGAGAGGAAAATTGCCTTAGTCCGCGGTGGTCTATGATTGTCTGGTCATCAAATATCAAGTTCCTAAGATTGCGTTTACAGGCTAGCCAGAACGTGCTGAACCACTTGTTGAGGATAATGCCACCTGAAGAATTGCTGGAATTACCTAATATCAGATCTACAATTGAATCATTGATTCCTTATACCAGAAGGTAAGGGAAGATGCATTGCATCCACATTAACTTTCTTATCTTCCTTTTATATTGTATTCTGTTTTCTGCCTAATTAGAATCTGGTGTACAAAAACCTGCCGTAATTATCAACGGCTCCCAATCAGCTCTTAAACATCTTAATCTTATTTTCCGCTTCAGGCATATGGAACGACTAAATAAAGCAAGACAAGACGTGTCTCTGTTGAGTTTTACGTGGAACCAGATGCGTTTAAATTGATCATCTTTTTCTAGCACAGTTATACGTTTTTGTTGTTATGCGTGGATGTTGATCATGATGTTGTTTACGTTGTTGTTGGTCTTTCTCATGAATAAACCTTACTGAATTTTTCTTCTTCATTCTGAAGTGCACCTGTTTAGCAAGTTACCTATCTTCGAACTTCTCTGATTTATGCTAGTAACGACTGATATTATATTCACACCACGGAGTTCAGCTCTCCTTTACAGCAAAATGGCGGACGATTTGCCTATGGAGAGTATCGACGATATGCCAGAGTTGATCGATGTAGATCTTCCTGCGCAGTTGCCTTCATTAATCGAGCAGAACACAATAGAGCCGGCGAAGGAGGCAGAAGAATTCCGAATAGTACGTCGTTTTTCGCACTACGTTTGGTTTTGATTGCAACTCTGCAAAGACCTTGTTGTAATGATTTTCTGGCCGATCCCTGCTTTTGAACGAATCAACGAAAATGTGTCCGAAGCTATAAAATGGGCGCGCGTTGTCTGCGTTCTCTTCGGACATTGTTCGCTGCAGCAAAAGGCTGTGCTGTTTTTTGGACGGCTATCAAACGAACGGGTGGTCTGTTTTTACCCTCCTAATGGCCCGACGTTGCGTTTATGGCGAATTTTTTCACACGACGTATGGTCATTTGCCATAAGGTGGACTGCAGCGATTAGCCGGTAAATTTCGTACGCTTTGTGTCGAATTATGACTGGCCTTATCGTGAACAATATTACTGCAGTGTTGAAGAATTTCTGGAAATATGTTTCCGAGTGCAATATTGTATGGCTAACGATGGTGCCTGTAACTCAAAGCGTGTTCTGCAATGACTATGATTCATAAGTTTCGCAAGAGCAACCTTCACAACTCATCAGAACATTAAGATAACATTTAAGGAGTTCTGATATCAATCAGTCCGCTATAAGATGTGACCACTTGTTCTACCCCAATCGAAAATCGAATCAAGGTGGAGTTATAATGCGTATCTTTGCTGACAGCGGCTAGCATACCAGCCATTCTGCAAGCCAATGCTTATTCTCCTGAGCAAATTTGCGAAAAGGAGCGACTTTACATGAAGTCACCGTTTTCGTAGGAATTGTGACCTCGGTTCACCCATACAGGCTCTTGACCACGAATTCTTCATTCTATTCCAAAATCGTGCACTTGTTAGGAGATTTTGTCTTTGCTAGACACCTGAATAGTTAAAGCAAGGCTCACCATGAATGCGATAAAATGGCTATGAAATGTTGTTGTTGGAATTCTTGAATAGGGACTTTCTCAGAACAGTGTGACCGCTCTTGATCCGAACGCTGTAGAGGCTCCCTTGTCATTCATTCGTTCGTTCACCTATTGCTGAAAACTGATCACTACTGGAATGGCGCTGGGTTAGACACCATAAAGTAATCGGTTTCCTTCCGAGGAATGCTTCTAAGAATTGTCGTCCTTATGACAATTCGCCAAGAGAAATGGCATGGTTGGAGATTTTGTGCACTTTATCTATTAGTGCTTAGACAAAGATTGGAAAATTCGGGTCCGCAACAAATCATTTGAGAAATATTTTGAACAAATCTATTTGCACTTTGCTGTCATATGCCGTGGTATGATTTATGGTATGCGGTATACAACCATACCGGTCAGGTTTCCTTTTGATGCGGAATTGTGATATTTGAGCATTGTCTTCCAAACTATCGTGTTTTTTTACCATACTCTTGTACAGGGTGACCCACATGAAGTGTGACGGGGGATAAAAAAAGAATCAACTTATGGGCTTCTGGGTTGGAGGAAGCGGTGATCGCTTGGGCGGAAAGGAACGCTATGAACGTCAACTGAACCTTCCACAGGATTGGGCACCAGCCCACAGCGCAAAGAAGATGCTACAATGTTGTGAAACCACGCTTCCGGGTATTCGGGGCGCAGCAGTTTTGACCTTCAAATTCCCCGATCTCAATCCTTTGGATTTTGCTGTATGGGCGATCTTGGAGCAAAAAGCCTGCGCTATGAAACACTGGTCTTAGGAACCCCTGAAAGAAAGTTCTATTATAGAAGCATGGGATGAAAGTGATTGCGCGCATTCTTGAAAACATCCGAATGAGGTTGGATGTTTGCATTAAAGCGAAAGATGGTCATTCTGCATGCGAGATGTGATACGTTGTTTACAATTTTGTGATGATTGTGTAGGAGTAATAATTTCCTATTTGGTTTGATCTGTATAATTTTGATGCTAGTTTTCTGCGTCACATTTCATGTGGGTCACCCTGTATTTCTCTTTTGCTGATTTCTTGGGTTTTTTTTCTAGAGTTGTTTAATTCATTGTGACCCTGGCGGTTATACCTATTCAATGTTTCAGCTCAGACGCGGAATATTCGCTGTCAAACACGGTTTCAACTCTCAGCTCACGGTACCGTATGAGCGGTAGAAGATCGTTAGTTATTAGTAGAATCGTTGAATCATGTCCTGTCAGCACCCATAAATCACCCAGGTCTAGTTTCCCAATCTATTACATGTCATCCTTACCAATATATTTGCTGTGTGCAAGTGATAGCTTGGTGATCACTTGTAATGATACTTAGTAGAGATTAATGTGACATGATTGAGCAACCACAAGCAGTTATCGATTGCTATCGATTCATCGATCAATCGGAAAAACCGGGGTGAGGTATACGTCTGATATGACATATGCTGTATAAGCGCTATCGCTATGATTACAGCGGCTTCCTTTGAGTTTCCTTTAGAGTGTTACAATATCAGTTCGGGTTCCCTATATCACTACTTTTATCTTAATCATGAAGTTTTCTGAACGAGCAGACACACAGGCAGTCGAAATACCAGCAGACCATCATGCCGACATACCGGCCAGCAGGCACACTAGGCTACTGTCGATATTATAAGAGGGATAGCTAAGATGACAATGGTACAAGCAATTCTAACAAATGGACACCTGACCTGGAGTAAGGGTTAAGGATAAAGTCTTTTGACCTTGATCAGTCCCGCTAAGGGATGCGCCCTGCATTCGACTTTCATTCAGAATCGTAGTGGCGTTCTGAATGCGTATTTGGCCGATGCAGAGG